CCCAGGAACCCACAAGGATGACCCCAGCTAAGACTCCTAGCAGTAGTAGATAGGGTGCCTGACCTGGCCGTCTCCTGTAACCAGACTGTTCGACTACCGTAATTATCATCAGAGAGACTTCCTCCAATGGAACAGAGGTCCACAGCCCAGCACTGGGCCAAGCTCTGGTAATCCTGTTGAAGGTGGGGAGGAATGATTACAAGACCAGTAGGGTCAAAGGAACCCACAGAAACCACTAACCTGGGTTCAGAGGGGCTCACAGACTCTGAGCCAACAGCCAGGGAGCCTGCATGAGATCAGCCTAGGTCTTTGACATATGTGTGACAATTGTGAAGCTTGGCCTATCTGTGGGACGCCTAGCAGTGGGATCAGAACCTGCCCCTAAGGTTTGAGCTGGATCTTTGGAAACTATTCCTCATCCTGGGTGGCCTTGCCCAGCCTTAAGACAAAGGGAGGAGCTTATTCCTACCCCAACTTGATATGTCAAGCTTTGTTGACACTCATGGGAGGCATGGCTCTTTCTGAACAGAAACAGAGGAGGAGTGGATGGGAGGGCAAAGGGGAGATGGGAAGAGGGGATCAGAGGAGAGGAGGGAGAGGAAACTTCAGCTGATATATAAAATAAATGAAAATTTTAATAGATAGATAGATAGATAAGACCTCCATCATGTATTAGCACCATGTTCTGGACACCAAACCTCCAGAAATAAATCTCTATTGCAAATTTCCAGCCTCAGGTGTTTTGTTATAGCAACACATATTCTTTGTCCTGAACCTAAAAAAGATTTGAGCTATCACCTATATGAACCAGACGAGAAGAGTCTAGAAGCATTTTTTTCCCTAGAAAGAAAGAACTCCAGGAGGAAGGAACTGAAATGTTCCATGGATGTAGCAGTTAAGAGCCAGGTCCCAGCCTTTCTCCCCCTGTAGACCAGTACAGGGAACTTCAAGCTTTATGAGAAGTTTGACTGGGAAGACAGAGATGGGGAAACTGAGTTTTCTTATGTGGCACTCTTTGTCCCCACCAGAGGAAGAAAGGCTCACTTACCAGGCTTACAGCAATAGAGAAAGGTTGGGCATTTTATCTTAGTGGGACACCAGGAAGGGATGGGCACTTGCCTTTCTGGGTGGTTCAGATGCTAGCTATATGTTAAGCCGCGGTGAAGCTAAGGTTCAAGTATCTGCAGTGTGCACTCATGTGGGATGTGTGCACACAGAGACCAGAGGTGGACACTCTGCTGTGTGAACAACCAGCGGATGCGTGGCTTCACCACTGTGCCTTTCATTCACTTGAGACAGCGTCTCTCATTCACCTGGAGCTAGGCTGGAGGCCACTAAGCCCAGTGATCCTCTTATCCCTACCCTGCAGGGCACCGATGTCACCAGTGCATGTGGCATGCCCGGCTTTTTACTTGAGTGCTAGAGATGGAGTTCAGGTCTTCGTGCCTGCACAGTAAGCCCTGTAACCCACTGTGCCATCTCCCCAGGGCTGGATGTGAGCAGAGCCCACAACTGAGGGAGACTGGAGGAGGAAGAAGCTAGCAGGGAGCTGTGGCAGTTGAGATAGAAAGGCATCGAACTGTATCTGAGACTAAATGTTTGTTTAAAGGAAAATCAATGCTTCAGAATGTCTCCTACTTCTTAGATTCTTTTATTTTTCTTAGCTCATTCTGTCATATGTTGGTCTGGAGTTATCTGTGTTTATTTATTTGTGTGGGTGGCAGGGGGTACATGCTTTCCACAGCACACTTATGTAGAACAATGGACAATGTGTGGAGTCCCTTTAGGTGGGTCTGGAGGATTGAACTCGGGTCACCAGGCTTGCACATCGAGCACCTTCACCTGCTGAACCATCTTCTCTGGCACAAAATGTGGAATTGGGAGGTGAGGGTGGAAACTCCATGGGCAAGGCATGGTGTGTGGAGGTGCTCTGTGTGCCACGACAGTTGTCTCAGGGCAGCAAGAAGCATAAAAGTCCTTTGTGTGCAGGCTGCTTGCTGTGACCTTGGGCAGCTTCCTTTCCTGTTCTTCATCTTCCTGTGTGAAAACCAAGGGGACTGGACCCCATGGCTTCTGTGGCTGGCATCTCCCACCCATCTGCAGAGTGTAGAACCTCAGCACTCCCGCTAAGTGTTATAGCATGGCACTTAAAATAGCAAAGTAATGGTGTGGGAGGTCCTTCTGTATATGTGTTTTTATTGGTTAATGAATAAAGCTGTTTTGTCTCAGCAGAATAGAGCTGGGTGGGAAAACTGAACTGAATGCTGGAAGAAAGCAGGAAGAGTCAATGAGATGCCATGTAGCCACCAGAGGAGACAGATGCCGGATGGAACTTTAACCAGTAAGCCACAGCCATATGGCAATACACAGATTAATAGAAATGGGTTAATTTAAGAAGTAAGAGCTAGCTAGAAATATGCTTAAGCTATTAGTCAAGCAGTATTGCAATTAATACCGATTTCTGTGTGATTATTTCGGGAGTCTGTGTGGACAGGAAACCAACAATCAGCCTCCTACTACAGTCTACTGGGCAGGCTGCCACATGCCTGTTGTCCCAGAACTGAGGCAGGGTAGAAACAGGACAAGCTCAACATCAGACTGAACGAGCTAGTGAGTTTCAGGTCAGCCAGTGCTACCAACAGAGACCCTGTCTCAACAAAACACAAATAAACAAAAGCTGTCTGCCCGAGTTACCTCAGAAGATTCCTGGGAAGAGACATGCCTCTGAGGTGCTCCCTGAGCACAGCTGGTCCATGGCATTCCATCTAGTCCCATTCTGGGGTCATAGGTCATTCAGCCTTCAGGTACCAACTCCATTTCAAGCACCCACCCCATCCAGGGACTTCTACTCTGGCCCACTAACTGACGGACAGAGTGGGAGGGCACACAGCTCAGACCCAAGGGATTTGCACCACACTGAACACGGGCAGCAGCCCGCTCACTTCTCACTAATTGGTGGGCCTCCTAGGACGGGTCCGTCTTCTTCATCTCTGCCTGAGAATGCTCAAGTACGTAACTGCTGCAATCAAGGCTTCTGACACACAGCGTCTGTGAATTTCTGTGGGGCCTACTAGGCTCTTCCTCTGAAGGCTGCCTTCCACCCCAGCCCCCTGTTCCACTGCCAAGTTCTAACCATGCTGAGTGTTTCAGTTTCAGGTCAGCGCCACCGTGGTCTTTCAGAGGGGAAGGTTTTACCTCAGGGCCTTTGGCCATGCCATTCCCAACGTGCTAAAGGTCATTAAGTGCCTCTCTCTTTGTTGTTGACACCCAGCCTAAATGAGAGCCCCCCCCCCCGTCGCCCTGCTAAAGGCTTTCTCTGACTCCAGCCTCTAAGAGGCTCCCTCCAGCCCCATCTCTAAGAGGTTCCCTCCAGCCCCATCTCTAAGAGGCTCCCTCCAGCCCCATCTCTAAGAGGCTCCCTCCAGCCCCATAGCTAGTTCTCAGCAATGTGTTTACACGTGACAAAGTTCTTCCAGAATCATGCCCAAGTCTCGATGCTAGGCTATGTGCTGTGTGTGTGTGTGTGTATGTGTGCAGCCCAATAGATTTTCACAATGCCCCAAAGCAATTCTTATTTCCATATTACAGATAAAGAAACACACCTGGGAGAGGAACCGTCCCACACTCTAAATCTCCATGGCTGAGCTCACGTTACGCGGCTCTCTGCCTTCCCAGCAGCCCAAGGCTGCTTTCAAAGCCCGCCCTAACCCAGCACGCCTGCCAAGATGGCAGGAACCTGAACCAGCAAGCGGATGGTAACAGCTTTATGCCTAAGTTCCCTCAGCATGAATGGCACAGAGAGGGGAGGAGCTATGGCACAGCCAATCAGTCAGGGCCCAGGAGCTCACGCATTGAGTCCACCAGCAAGGGGATCTACAGTCAAAACAACCAAATGCCAAGGCACAGCTTACGGACTGCAGGGTCTGGAGGTATCATGACAGCCCAGGAGACCAGAGGCCCCTTGGTCAGAGAGAGAAAGAGAGAAGACAAGTAGGGCCCTCTCCCCCCGCTGTCCTGTAATCCCAGGCCACGGATACTCTTGTAAACCTCAGTTGTCAGGGTCTCTGGGTCTGGTTCCTCCAGCGGTGTCTCTGCTCGAATACAACTAGCAACACGGCACTCACTATGTCTAGAGAGTCTTCCCAGGGTGGGATGGAAGGTTTCTCATTTCCTACCCACTGAAGGTAGAACAGTTCCCCCAGAGTTTACTTTGGCACCTACGGTGTTTCTTCTTCCCCGTGCCTACAAATGTTAGGATTCACACATCCCAAGTTCCCCTCTGCTAAACATCCCATTTCTCCCTCCGCGTGCCGCCTTGGGTCCCTTCTCAACCTAGAGCCTGTTCTGGTGCAACCCTGACTCCCTGGTATGTGCTTTGTGACAGTGTAGGCTAGGCTAGCCATCAGCTAGAAATAAGGCCAGTGTGGTCTAACCCTGGCATCTCTAACAGCCAAGAGCCTTCCGACCCCAGAGCTTGCATGCCTGGACAATGCTCTGTGGCTTCTGAGGACCCCATGGAGACGACGTGATGCCACAATGGGGAGCGCAGGGTCCCTTTGTGTGTGCTCACTGGAGCACCCACCACTTGGGTCTGTTGCTCCAAATGAGCTGAGGCATCAACATGCATCGGAAGCAAGATCCTGATGTTTGCAGTGTCAAGACCTGCCATGCCTCAGTGTGATTGGCACATGCTGTCATTAGGCCTGGTTACCCCCATTCCACGGATGTGGAAATACCAGGGCCCAGGGCGATGCAAAACCGAAGGGGCCCCACACCGGACTATATCACCAGGCCCCTGAACTGCTGGCGGGGGGGGGGGGCAGGCTGGTTCTACAGGTCAGAGGCACATGGAAACTCTGCTCTTCTGAACAAAGGACCTTGGGAACAGGGGTGCTGAGGAAAAGGCCAAGTAGACAAATGAGACATTGCAGCGGGGGGTAGGGGGAGGAGGTAGGAGAGGTGATGGTGGTGATGCTGGGGAGTGGCCGGCGGGCACTCACAGGGCAGCGTCTCTGCGCTATTCTTCTGGATCATTATGCAGAGCTGTAGCACCAGTTGGGGGGCGCTCTCCAGAAAGGTCTCCAGGAGGCGCAGCATGTTGACATCTGCGTATTCGTACATCATAGCCCAGTAGAAGCGTCGCTGGTGTTCCTTCTGCCGCTGGCTCTGAATCCCCAGGTACATGGTGCGGATATACCTGTGGGGAGACACGGGACAGAGCACACGTGTGGGTGGGGCTTGCAGAAGGACAGCGACCCCACCTGTGTGGGCATGCCCCGACTTCCTGCAGAAGTCCCCAGGAGCTCGAGTGGGATTCAGATTCAGAAGGATAAAGAGGTGAGGCATGAGGCCCAGTCATGGGAGGGAGCTGGCCCAACGAGGGACCCCAGGCCAGTCCTCTCCATCCTGGTCTCCGCTTATACATAAGGGACATGGAAGCATTGACCAAATGATGTCCCAGGCCTATCAGCTGAGCATTTCAGATGAGCTCAGAGGTAGGTGGGTTTCTTAGGGTACAGGATCGGGGTGGAGGTGGGAAACATTTCAGTAGGGTTGGCATTTTTGTTACTCCAGACAGGAAAAGAACTAACTTGGGATGCTCCTAAGGGCCACTCTCTGGCTGGCCATACCCACATGGGGAGGAGGTGGGCATACTCCCATAGGGACCAGTTGGACTTCTGAAAGGTTACACTCCCCCTCCCCGCATGGGCTCAGATGGCTGAATGGAGGCTCAAGCAGAAGTTGGCCCAAGGCTATTGACCCCCAAGGCCTGTAGGGAGCCTCCAGGTCTGGGCAGTTACAAATCCACTGACCCCTCTCAGAGGGGCCATGACACGCAGACTCTGTAGTGCTAGGAAGCGGGTCCAGCTGGAGAGCCTGGGCCTGCAGGTCAGCACCGAGAACTGTGCCACATTGAAACAGTGCCTTCAGTTCAGTGTGCCAGGCCCTCCTCTTTAGTGAGGAGGCTTCACAGGGTGAGCACATGTATGGAGGGCCCCCTTCCCGTGTGAGCCTCACCATCACCAGAACTTTCTGGAACTTTGTCTCTAAGGATTCGGTGGCTCTACTCAGCATAACCCTCCTGGGAAGCAAGTTATAGTCAGCCTATGGGTGGGGTCCAGGACAGAGGAAGAGCCCAGGATATGGTAGACCTGTCTGGATGGGAGTCCTGTCCAAACACAAGGGTCAAAAAAGTAGAGCTTCCGAATGGTTCAAGAATGGAACCATACACACAGTGACACATTCCTCAGCTAGAACCAGACAGATGGCACACAGGGTTGACAGCCCACTTCAGGCTCGCTGGCCCTCGGGCACAACCCAGTTGAGCCTGCTGGATAGCCCTCTCTGTCCTCTCTATGCACTGACACCGGCACCTCTTCACAGGCACGTGCGGTCCACTCCTGCTCCATAAGAATCCCTCTTCACGAGGCACCCAGAGTGCTCTCAGAAGGTTCTAAAGTGCAGGCAGGGAGACTCCTCTACCATCTGGCTTCCCGGTGCTCAGAATAACCCCCAGCCCTCCAAGGGGCTTAAGGCCTCACCTCACCTCTAACATCTCACCAGCTTTCCTCTCCTGCTCCCTCAGACCTCTCTCTCCTATCTGTCTTTCTTGTTTCCCCCCAGAGTGCAGAAGCCCTGCGTGAGTAGGGACTTGCTGATTACACCCTGGTACATCTCACCGCCTAGCACGGCACCCACGGAAGAAGCAAGTGCATTCTGGGAATGCCTCTTCTCTGGGGCTGGGGACTCTGAGCAGGACCAGAATCTCACAACAACCTCATAGTAGACCCTAAGCATGCTGGAGACAGAGGTACGAGAGGCAGGTGGTTGACAAGAGAAAGGCTGTCCTCATGACAGCGTAGGGGCATCACCCCAAGACTGCACAGGTGGGAACCCATGCTCGAAGTCCAGACTGGAAAGCATACGTTCACAACACACGTTTAAAACTGTAAAGTGCTGCGACCTCTGGTTGCAAAATGGGGGGGGGGGGGGGGGGCGCACTCCAGAACAGCAGTTGTGTGCTCAATCTGGAAGGATGGAAGCCCAATCACCTGTAAGATATGCCACACCCGGCTAAGGCTCTAGGAGCCACAGTGAGCTCCAGCTGAGAGGCCCAGGTGACTGCCTTGAACAGATCCCCCACTGGGGAAGTAGGGGTAATCACCTGTTTCTTCATCTCTGCCATGAATAGACAGTTTTGTATGTCAGGATCAACCGCGGAACCATATACACAATGGCTTAAGAGTTAAGGCCACACTGCAAAGGACTCCATCAGGGAGGGATGGGGGAATATTCAGATGGGCCAGGCCTCCTCAGCCGGGTGTCTCTGCTGCCTTGTGAGCAGGCCTTCTTATCGCCATTTCAAAAGTGGGGAAACTGAGGCTGAGCACCAGTCTCTGACTCTATCGTGAGCTTGTGCTTCCTGTGTATTGCTGCTCTGGGTACAGAAGTTCTAGGTCCTTCTGCAGACGTATGCCATCAAGGAACCAGGGAAGGGCTTGAGAAGGGAAGCGCAATGAAACAAGGAAATGAGCTGCGGGTGATGGAACACCACATCTCTTTCCTGAGCCCTTAGAGCAGGACCAGGTCCTGTGAGGTCGCCCTGCAGCTCATTGGACGGCCTATCTTCTATGTGGGCTGCTTCCTCCTGTGGCCACACGGTGGCGCCAGATCCTAAGTTTCGCAAAAAGGAGGCGCCACACCGGTGATCTCATACCTTAGGACTGGCGCCCTCCTATGCGACAGTGCTTGATGCAGGGGCTACCTGCGAGCGGCGGTGCACGTTGGTCAGGATGCACCAGGGTCCCAGCTGAAGGTATGGTAGGTGCCAAGGTCTCCCCTTCCTCTGCACGTTCTAGAAAGCTGCCTCGAACAGGAAGGCAGCCTAGGAGAGAACTCACCCACCCTGCTGCTCCTGGATTGACTACCTCATCATCTCCTGTTACAGCCTGTCACACTGTCTCTCCTTTAGGAGCACCAGATCTTGCAGTGATCAGTATACGAGCCAGGAGGTCGCCTGTCGGCTGCACACTGCAGGGTCCTGTCACCCCCTTCCCCAGGCTGCAACCTCACCCTAACCCCTCCCCTCATCCATCCCCCGACCCCAGATTTACCCGCCAGAGAAGGGCAGTCTGAGAGGAACTCTGGACTCCTGCCAGCATTTCCCATCATCCCCTTTGAAGTGTGTGGCTTCACAGTATACAAAAGTGCGGCACACACTTTACACACAGTAATCTGCATTTGAGTGCAAGACATGGTTCTGAGCAATTGTGTTGAGTTAATGAGCTGAGAGCATTAACTCGCGTAATCCTCACAACGGTTTACAAGGAACCTGCAGCACCACCTCATTCAAAAGATGGCCAGCTGAAGCTCTGAGGCAAAGACCTGGTCCTCAGTTTACCCAGTCGCATAAAGAGCTAAGCAGAGCCTCACCCCTGGACAGTCTTGCTTTGGTTTTTCACAGAAACACGGATGAGACTAGAGCGCACGTCAAATCTAATCATACGTAGAAAGAAAAATGGTGCAACAAAGCCAGATGGGGTTTATCTTGAGCACGGAAGACTGGTTCAAGTTTCCAAATTCAATGACTGCAGACTCCTTCATTAGCAAAACCCACACAGCACATCAACCCAGGCAGGAAATGTCTCTGACAGAATTCAGCAACTATTCTTAATAAAAACACTCAACAAGCAAAGCCTAGAACAGAACTTCCCAGAATCTTATGAAGATGCAGGGCACCAGTGAACCCGCACGGTTAACTTCACACATCACACACACAGGCTGGATGCTTTTGTCAGAAGACCGGGCACAAAGCAACGAGTTCTACTCTCGCCCTCATTCAACCTCGTGCCGGAAGGAGCAGCCGGTTCATCGGCTCAAGATAAAGAATCGTGTACAGACGATGCAAGCAGGCTGCAGAAGCAGTGAACCCAGCTCTATTAGGGGCTTAGACGGAAGCGCTAACATGCTTGTGCAAACACATTCCTGGGACCTATGAGGAACTAGCCCACAGAACAAAGGGAGACACAGGTCAACCACCTGCTCCTGTAGACTACTTATTAACAGCCGAAATTGAAATTTAAAAAATTCCCTTTAAATATTCCCAAACCGAACTTCTTAGATATAAGTCAAGAAGGCATGAAAGGTTGTATAATGACGGTAAGTAATGTTAGACATCAGAGACAGACCATTTTCATGAATATAATGGAGATGGTAACTGCCCACTCTCCTGATCTGAAAGCTTAAAGTAATTTTTAAAGGGTTTTTTAAAAATGTGTGTGTGTGTGTGTGTGTGTGTGTGTGTGTGTGTGTGTCTGGATGTCATGGGTATGTGCACATGGAGGCAGGGTGGCTACAGAGACCAGAAGAGGGTATCAGATCCCCTAGGTACAGGCCGTTGTGAGTGACCCAACTTGGGATTTAAACAGTGGTCCTCGGCAAGAGTGGCAAGTGCTCTCACCCCTTGCCACCTCTGCAAACTAGGTTGAATTCTAAGAAAGATCCTAGCAGCCTTCATCTGTGCAGGTGAGCCTAGATCAGCGTATTCTAAAGCGTATATGGAAGACAAAGGAACCCAAATCACGGAACCAACTTTGGAACCAACTTGAAGCACTCACAGTATCTGACTTCTAGGATTTAAAGACACAATAATTGAGACAGTGTTGGCAAAGAGAAAGACATCGACCAGCGTCTCGAAGCAGACCCACATGAATGAAGCCGGCTGGTTGCCTAGGAAGGAGTACGGAGAATTTAATAGCAAGATGGGATTCTTCCCAATGACGTGGGGATGATGAGTTGATCACATGGGGCAACTGACTTAAAAAATGTATCACAGGCTGCAATATAAAAGTAGGAAACCTTTAGAGAAAAGACAGTCTGCATTAACTGAGGAGTTTACATGCCTGCAGGAGTCAACCCAGTAAGCCTCAGCACTTCAAACTTGCTCTGTGCATGGCATTAAGGGAATAAAAGGCAAGCTATAGGCGGGATAAAACATCCCTAAATCCCATAGCTGACAGAGAACTTGAGCCCACATTTTCTTCAGTGCTGCAAGTTACCTTTGTTCTAGGAAGGAACCGCAGACCCACACTCACGCATGCAATGATATTTCATGCACACATGGATGTGCACGCATGCACACACACACACACACACACACACACACACACACACACACACCAGCACCAAAGCCATGAAAGTGAGAGGAGACTCATTAGAAAGAGGTAGCCAGTGGCAGCAAGAGAGAGTAACAGAGAGGGTGTCAAATGTCATTTTCTTAAAATGTAACGAAATTCACTTAAAAGTTAAAGAAAATGTTTTTAAAAAGACACACAAATATCTCTTTTAGCAAGATATGGAGTTCTCTGAGTATGTTCCCAGGAGAGGAACACCTGGGCCATAGCATAGCACTGTTTTGAACTTTTTGAGGAATCTCCCGATGGATCTCCATAATGAGTGTGCTAATTTGCACACCCACAATGTGAAGGGTTATTTTTTCCCCACAGCATCTCCATTTGTGACAGAGTTGGTGACAGCCCTTCTGATGGGGGCAAGGTGGTGCCTCAGAGTAATTTTAATTTTCATTTCCCAATGACCAGGGATGTAAAACACTTTAAAAATAGTTGTTGGCCATTTTTGCTTCTTCTTTTGAAAATAGTTCATCTTATTAGCCCGTTCATAGGTTAGCAGTTTTTCCCTCGGGGTTTAATTTCTGGGATTCTTCGTGAAATTTAGATATTAGCCCCTTGTCTGAGGTGTAGCAGTGATATCTTCTCGCACTCTGTAGACTCTGCTAATGGTTTGTTTCGCATGAACATCCTTGTTTGTTGCTGCTCCATATAAGAGAGCAATGAAACGGAACCAACCTAGATGTGCATCAAGAAGTGAATGAATAATGAAAATGTGGTCCACACACGAACTGGAATAGGATTCAGTTGTAGGAAAGGAAGCAGCAAACTGCAGGAAAATGAGTGTGCTTGCGAAGCGTAAGACTATGTGAGGTGACCTAAACTCAGGGGAAAACCCGACAAGTTCTCACTTTCCTTCCCATACAGACCCTAGACTACAATACAAACATGTAGATGTAAGTGGGCCCTAAGCGTGGGCATGGCAAAACATTTAGAAATATTAATGTTAATATTAGGTCATGGAGAAGGGCAGGATTAGGCAGAGGGACACGCGGGACGTGGAAAAGGATATAAAGCTTTTGTTTAGTTTCAGTTCTGCCACAGTTTGGCGGGCAAGTAAATAAAAAATACAATTGACAGAGAAAGTCTAAAACCCTAAGCGAAGCCCCATGGCCTCAGGGTGGCCATTCTAGCTTCATAGAGGTCAACTGGGATCCATAAGGCTGGAACTGGAGAGGTGTGTGAGCGACTTCCGTAAACTGCCTTAGGTTTTTAACTGCTGGTTAATCTTGGAGGCGGAACGTTGGCATGGGCTCCCAAGTAGTCCTAGCTACTTGGGAAGCTGAGACAGGATTTCTTAAGCGCGGGAGTCCAGGGTGAACCCAGGCAACACAGAGAGACCATTTCTCAATAAAAATTCAATTTATGAATATAAAACAAACAAGGGACGTCTGGGAGTAAGGACGTAAAGCTTGTGTTTTAGCGACAACACACGGTCTGTCCCCAAATGCCAGTTAGTTGGAACTATCCCACTTTCCCCAGGAGCAAGTCCACAGTCCCCTGCCCTACAACACAGACCTATAGCCTGAGAACTCAGAAGGCCATACCTAGGGACATCAAAGGGCCCAACAGGGAAGGCAATATTAGGAAGGGTCATGCAAGTGAGATTTACCGCCTTTATCCCGCCCTTGCTCCACTCACTCTTAAACAAAATCTTTGGTCCTAATCCTGGACACCGGCTTGAAAGATGACTTCACATGGCTTAGAGAAAGATTACTATGGGTATACTGACACCTCTGGGCCTTTGGGTAGGGACTATTGGGGCATCACGAACTAGCCCAATGACCTCGTTCTAAAGGACATGTGTCTTTGGACCAAATTGGCTCTGGAGAGCTATCTGTGTGGACAGTGATGCAAACTGAGTGACCTTAGCAGCCATTAACCCTCCCATTCACCTAGCAATGGCTTTTCTCAGGAGCCCACCTTTTGGGTCCCATCTGGTTTATTCAGAGGGAGCCTGAGACCCCAGCCTGGCCTTAGTCCTTCAGTCTCCTCTAAGTCCTCAGGGTCCCAATCCAGGTTCCTACTCCAATCCAGGGCTTGGCCAGCTTTCGCTTCCTAGCTCTGGAGACCAGGAAGGCCTTTGGATAGCATCTCCCCAGTGCCTGGGATTGGGGCTCCGCCCTGCCTGGAAGTCACACAGTTGGCCCTCACTGCTTGATGCTTCCTATTTTTCTGGATTTCAGGGGCCAAGCAGGGGGTCCCCGGCTAGGTGCAACCCTACATCTAGCTACACCAGGGAAGATCTGGAACATGTGTGTAATTCCTAGTGAACTTAACTTACAGCTAGAAGAAGCTCAGGAAAGTGTGCGCTTCCATGTGTATCTTGTTCAGGAGGGCCTGGCCTGGTAGGGACCAGAGTCCTGGTGCCTGGAAGACCCTGGTGCCATAGAAGATAAACATAATGACATAACAATGCTAGCCTATTTCTCTGTCTCTGAACGTATAAGCCAAAAGGACATTGGATACACCTGACCTCTCGAACTTGCAGCCTAGAAACATGTACATTATGGGGTGTGGGCTGTTTCCTCTGGTGTCGATGTCTGACTGGGCGCTGCGGTTCACTGCCCGCTGCCTGGCATGGAGAGAGTGGGTGGAACTACATTCGGCCAACCCAGGGAAAAGACCAAACTCAAAGTTCCATCTATGGTTACATGTGTGGAATGATTTTCCATAGTCCCGCTGCAGCGTTAAAGCATTGCGATCTGAGCTGTCGCGAAGTCACACTGTAGCAGAGAGGAAACAGAGAGGGGAGGAGGGAAGAAAGGAGAGTGGGAGAAGATAGAGCAGGGGTGGGGAGGCTGAGACAGACAGGATGGGAAGAGAGGAA